CGATATGGCAGCCTACCATGCCTTATCACTCTATTGTATGCCACTACGCTTTTATATCTCTCAAACCAAACCTTTGCTGGCCTTAAATTCTCTCACATTCACTAGTTGAAGGCATTTTTATTTTAATTAATCGTCATGCAAAACTTCCTAGCCTTTTCGTTATGATCGCTTGAGAGGGTGCCTATCTTCCTGCTATGTTTTTTCATTTTATCACACAATTAGAGTCTTCAACATATTCCATTCACTTTGCGGATCTCTGTTTTGAAAACACAGTTAAAAACCTTTGGGCAACGAACAAGCTTCCTTGAATGGCCTTTCTGCATTGCCCACAATAGTAGAGATGGGTGATTTGGGTTTCTTGTATAACCGAGGCCTGGGTTCAGAGACATGCTCTCCAATTCATACTTATCAAATGATCTCTTTCTTCAGTATCTAAAGTAATTTCACCATTATTCCTGTTAGGGTTGGCACTAGAAGTTTCTTGGGGCCCATGGTCACTTATTTTCCAGGATAATGCACCGAAAACCATGTAATAATACGAAATATTCCGATTGATGCTTGGTGTTACCGTGGAGGCTGGTGGGTAATAACATTGCCACGGCGGAACCTTTGAGGCTGGCGAGGGGTGGCATGTTGGACGCGGTCTCGGACGAAAGAGCGGGAGCGTGGTTTTTGGGCGGTATGCGAGGCTAAATTTTTGCGAAAAAAAAGCGGTGGGAAGCGGTATGCGGTTTGTTCGGTTTGCGATGCGTATCGGTATGCGGGGGTCCAATGATATATATATATATAAATAATATATATATATATTAGAATATTATATATATATATTTATATATATATATATTTATATATATTTATATACTATTATTTATATATATATATATATAAAAACCGGTATATGTTTGTTTCTGCAAGCGGGCAGCACTTCATGTTTGCCTTCAGGTGGATCGCCCAAGTGCCAAACTTCACGACCTAATATCTCGGCAAGTACTAACCCTAAATTATTTTTTTTTTATCTTATAACACTTAGGAAAAATGTGCTTTTTTTTTATGGAAATAAGATTTTTATTTTTCAAATTTATTCGGGCCACTGGGGGGGTAGTGAATATATATATACATTTGGACTGTTTATGGGTTATCACATTTTCATATCTAGATGCCTTAAGAATTTCATCCCATAGCAGCCTACTGAACTTCGTGTCAAGGTTTGGAGGCCTATAAATCACACCCAAAATTAATTTTTGATGACCTTCGAGAAATTGTATCTAAACAGATTGTGTCCAATGTTTCTAATCCTACATTTTGTCGAACACAACAGTTTAAATTATCTGACATACATTGCCACTCTACCACTCTTCTTGTTGACCCTATCAGTGTGGAATAGTTTATAACCCTGTATGTTGCATTCAGAAGGCATTTCTCTATCTTTCAAGTTGAACCAGGTCTCTGTTATACCAATAATATCTCTATTACCTGCACTTGCAAGTAATCTTAGCTCATATATCTCATTTCTTAGACTCCTACTATTTGTATAGTAAACCTTAAGGGAGCTAGTCTCTCGTTGCCCTCTACTATCTCTTTGATTGTATAACCTCAGCAAATGTCAAAAATAACTAAGTCTGAACCATGCTCTGTGAACAGAGTTACAAGAAGTATGTTTTGGCTCTCCACCGAAATCATACTCTACCAAAACAGTCTAAACCACGATCAAATAGCCAGAGATGAGCTACAACAGAGATGCTTCTCATAAGAGAAGTAGATAGTAGTAGAAGCAAGATCTGTCTCTACGACATTGGGTGTGATGACATGACTATCAAGTGCTTACTCCAGTGAGGTGCTAGGTACTTCCTGACACCAACACTGAAACAAGCGAGCTAGTAGTTAGCTATGCATTTTGGAAGATGAGATGGCCAATAACAACTCTCCCACAGCAAGCACAATGAGGTGGAAAATTGTTACATCCTACCTACATACATTTGCTCGTATAATAAGTCAATGTATGGCAAAATATTTTAATTTTAGCTATTAATGAAAATATCGGCAATATAAAATTATGTGAAAAGGTAATAGTATATACGTTGCCTCAATCAGGCTGTGCAACTCGCTCACTGTAGCTGCAACTAAAAAGTGATCTATTTGTGGTCACCTCCGTAAATATGCACATCCTGAAGTCTACCCACGTCTTTTATCTACCAATACATAGTCCAACAAACTGTCAATGCACCCTATATCATATCTTGTATACTTATCTTATTTTTCTTAAAATATGTATTACCTGTAACCAAACCTCTTTTAATACAATGTTCAAAGGCATCCCCCCCCAAATTTATTTACACGTAGCACCCCAGATTTACCTACCACACCGCTAACTATTTCTCTGACTTAAGTATTTAGATTCCCTACCACAATTACTCTCGCTTGGTTCAAAGGTTCCTAAACACTCGCTTAACGTCTCCAAAAATTCTCTCTACACACTTCTCCATACATACACACTTATGACCCACTTTTCACATCCAACCCTTATTTTAATCTATATAAACCTTGAATTTATACATTCATATTCCCTCTTCTTTCCATAACTGATCCTTCAATATTATTGTTACCTCTTAGCGCTCTCTCTCTCTCTCTCTCTCTCTCTCTCTCTCTCTCTCTCTCTCTCTGTCTCTCTCTCTCTCTCTCTCTCTCTCTCTCAGTACTCCTGATTTAATCCCATTTCTTCCCACCGGAACTCTCCTACCCCCTTCAGCCTTGTTTCATTTGGCGCTAGGACATCCAACTTATTTTCATTCATAACATTTGTAATCATATCTTATCTGCACTACATTCATGCACATTAAAACATCCCAGTTTTATAAAGTTTTTCTTCTGCTTCTGGCATTTTAGTTGCTTCCTGTGACGTGCATGGCTTATGGGGGAAAGATTCTTTTTCACTTCCCCATGGAGATGAATGGAAATGAAAAGAACAAGACCTGCTTAGAAAAATAGAAAATTCAGATTTGTGTGTATACACATGTGGGTTCATGCATATGTAGTGTGCCTAAGTGTAAATGTAAGTGGCAAGACGTACCTGTTTTCTTGTGTGTTTCAGACAAAGAAATACACCAGCATTCCTACCCTTACGTGAAACGACAACAGGTTTCCATTTCACATGCATATGGCAGGATGGTAGTACCTGTCTGGGTAATTGCTGTCTATTATTTTTGTTGGTTTTTGTTGGTTTTTCAACACTATTGTGATACTCTTCGTGATTTTAATGTGTACCTGCATGCCAGCAGTGTGTACATTTATTTAGGTACAGGCACACACAATTATCAGAGAATATACAAAAAGCACAATAACTTAAAACTTGAAATTTTGGAAAGTTTCCAGACAGTTGAGACATCAAGGTCATAGGGGATGTAAACAGTGGCACACAGACTCCATAATAACAAATCAGGGAGGGAGCCATATAAACGAATTTTGGTCATAAGTTGAAATGTCCATATTAAAGAATCACTGTAGAGTGAAGCACTGTAAGGCGAGGTCATACTATATTTGCAAGTGATAACTGCTAGCAGGTGTCATTTGTTTGCACAGGTATTTTACAGGATCGCATCAACCATTCCCACACATTTCCAGATCAACAAGCAAAGACAACTACAGTGAATATCTTGTTCTGGGGTCTTGAGCAGCTCGTGCTTTACCATAAGCTGTATAAAGTATTGCTATGTAAAAGAGACCTGGTCTGGTCTCTGCTGCCCTGCCTGGTCTGGTCTCTGCTGCCCTGCCTGGTCTGGTCTCTGCTGCCCTGCCTGGTCTGGTCTCTGCTGCTCTGCCTGGTCTGGTCTCTGCTGCCCTGCCTGGTCTGGTCTCTGCTGCCCTGCCTGGTCTGGTCTCTATTGCCCTGCCTGGTCTGGTCTCTATTGCCCTGCCTGGTCTGGTCTCTATTGCCCTGCCTGCTCTGGTCTCTGCTGCCCTGTCTGCTCTGGTCTCTGCTGCCTTACCTGGTTTGGTCTCTGCTGCTCTGCCTGGTTTGATCTCTGCTATCCTGCCTGGTCTAGTGCATCCTGCCCTACCTGCTCTGGCATGTCCTTCCTTGCTTTATATAATCCAGATTGCCATGCTTGCTCTTCCTTGCCCTGCCTGCCTTGTCCACCTGTCCTGACTTGCCCTGCTCTCTTCTACCAGCTCTAGCCTCCATACCCTTCCCTGCTTCTGACCAGTCCTGCCTGCCCTGCCTCTTCTTCCCTGTCCTGCACCATCTTATCACTGCCTGGTCATAAGCCTACGAAAGTTTTGCTTACTCTGTTGCTGGGTGTCATTGCTTCTGGATATTTAAAGCTGAAGACTTTATTTACCACTTACAAAACACTAGTGTGTTCTAACAACAAAAAGTATCCAAGGACAGGTTGTGTGTGTTTTGGTATCTTTGAATGAATTGTGTACTATATTGATGTTGAGTTAAGATAGGTTTTAGGTTCTATAAGACCTCTAGACAGGATTAATATTGCAGCTCAAGGTATCATTTATCACCACTTTGAGGTTTATATCATGTCTCTTTTGATATGAAAATGATCAAAATGATCTCCATTTCACTAGTCTGTTTTCTGTTCTATAAATTGGATATGAGAAAAAGCCATTAAAATCATCCTAGAAAATGCTTGAGACACTATAATAACCCAGACGGAAGATTGGAGATCAGTTATTTTTATTAATCACTTCCTTGAGCAAGATTGTTTTTGTAGATGAATGGTTCAGAGCCCCGACATGTTGATAAATGAGACACATGTGCAACACTTGGATATCTTTATTGATACCCAAGTGTTGCACATGTCTAATTTATCGAGATTGTTTTTATACAGTGTGCACTTATTGTACAGACCAATTCTCTCATGTGTAGGCCATGATTTACTGCTCATGGAATAGTTGAAGGTCGTGTGATTAAGATGTAGATCTACTTGAGCAACAGCGAAAGGGTTAATACTTGTCTGGTAAAATTGAAGTAATTATCTTTAACGCAGGCAACATCACGTCCAGTTCCACCGACGACCACGGGCATAAATCACGTCGTCTTGCCATTTGACCCCAACAACAGGCAACATCACTCCAGTCCCACTGTTGACCACTGAAGAAATTCAGATACCACATACAGCACATTAATGATGGTAAGAACAATTAACCCCCTTAACTGTCCGAACGTAGATAAACGTTCTCTCTCCCAGCTCTCCGAATATTTTGAAAAATGAAAGATCCCCCCTTTTTTTTTTTTTTTTTTTTTTTTTTTTTTTGTAATATAAAAAGTTTTTTAGTCAGTACTTAGGGAGATATAAGGCCGCGAAGTTGGCGATTGTCATTCGCCTGTCAGCAACATGAAGCACTGCCGCTTGCAGACATGTTGCAAATACAGTAGGGCCCAACTTATATGGCAGGTTAGGTTCCAGGCTACTGCCGTAAAGCGGAAATCGCCGTAAAGTGAAACGCCCTTTTTTTTCTTTATAAATGCATACAAATACTAGATAAGTTTACACTAACATATATTAAGTTAGCAATAGAACTAGGCATCAAAAAACAATAGAAAAGTACAATACACACAGAGTGCACTCATTACTTACCTTAAAATATTTATTGTCTTAATCTACGGTGAGACAAGTAGTATTTATTGTAAGAAATCAAATGTGGTATGTATGGTAGTCAGCCAGGCTACCATACCAGGCCACATAATATTCTATGATATTTAAGTATCCCAGAGTGATAAAATGCATATACAGTTCACTCATTACTTACCTTAAAGTATTTGTAGTCTTAATGTAGGGTCAGGGATGAGTAGACGAGATAAAACGAATAAATGAGAACGTGAGAGAGAGAGAACGTGAGAGAGAGAGAACGTGAGAGAGAGAGAACGTGAGAGAGAGAGAACGTGAGAGAGAGAGAACGTGAGAGAGAGAGAGTGAGAGAGAGAGAGAACGTGAGAGAGAGAGAACGTGAGAGAGAGAGAGAACGGAGAGAGAGAGAGAACGTGAGGAGAGAGAGGAGAGAGAACGTGAGAGAGAGAGAGAAACTGTGAGAGGAGAGAGAGGAACGTGAGAGAGAGAGAGAAACGTGAGAGAGAGAGAGAACGTGAGAGAGAGAAAGAGAGAACGTGAGAGAGAGAGAGAACGTGAGAGAGAGAGAGAACGTGAGAGAGAGAGAGAACGTGAGAGAGAGAGAGAACGTGAGAGAGAGAGAGGAAACGTGAGAGAGAGAGAGAGGAGAACGGAGAGAGAGGGAGGAGAGAGAAGAACGTGAGAGAGAGAGAGAACGTGAGAGAGAGAGAGAGAACGTGAGAAGAGAGAGAGGAAACGTGGAGAGAGAGAGAGAACGTGAGAGAGAGAGAGAAACGTGAGAGAGAGAGAGAACGTGAGGAGAGGAGAGAACGTGGAGAGAGAGAGAGAAGTGAGAGAGTGAGAGAGAAGGAGAGAACGTGGAGAGAGAGAGAAGAGAGAACGTGAGAGAGAGAGAGAACGTGAGAGAGAGAGAGAACGTGAGGGAGAAGAAGTGAGAGAGAGGAGAACGTGAGGGAGAGAAGGAGAACTGTGAGTAGGGGAGAGAGAAACGTGGAGAGAGGAGAGAGAACGGAGAGAGAGGGAGGAGAACGTGAGAGAGAGAGAGAACGTGAGAGAGAGAGAGAACGTGAGAGAGAGAGAGAACGTGAGAGGAGAGAGAACGTGAGAGAGAGAGAACGGAGAGGAGAGAGAACGTGAGAGAGAGAGAGAACGTGAGAGAGAGAGAGAGAACGTGAAGAGAGAGAGAGAACGTGGAAGAGAGAGAACGTGAGAGAGAGAACGTGGAGAGAGAAGAGAGAAAAGAAACGTGAGAGAGGAGGGAAGGAGAGAGAGGAAGAACGATGAGAGAGAGAGAGAAGTGAGAGAGAGAGGAAAAGGAGAAGAGAGAGAACGTGAGAGAGAGAGAGAACGTGAGAGAGAGGAACGTGAGAGAGAAGAGAACGTTGAGAGAGAGAACGTGAGGAGAGAGAGAACGTGAGGGGAGAGGAAGGAGAACGTGAGAGAGAGGAGAGAAGGAGGAGAGAGAGAAACGTGAGAGGAGAGAGAGAGACGTAGAGAGAGAGAACGTGAGAGAGAGACGTGAGAGAGAGACGAGAGACGAGAGGAGAGAGAGAACGTGAGAGAGGAGAGAACGTGGAAGAGAAGAGAGAGAGAACGAGAGAGGAGAGAACGTGAGAGAGAAACGTGAGAGAGAGACGAGAAGAGAGAACGTGAGAGAGAGAGAGAACGTGAGAGAGAGAGAGAGGAGAGATGAGAGAGAACGTGAGAGAGAAGAACGTGAGAAGAGAGAGAGAACGTGAGAGGAGAGGGAGAGAGAACGTGAGGGAGAGAGAGAAGGAGAGAGAGAACGTGAGAGAAAGGAGAGAGAGACGTGAGAGAGAGAACGTGAGAGGAGAGAGTGGAGGAGAGAGAAGAGAAGAGAGAGAGAACGTGGAGAGAAGAACGTAGAGAGGAGAGAGAACGTGAGAGAGAGAACGTGAGAGAGAGAAAAACGTGGAGAGATGTAGAACGCAGAAGAGAGAGAACGTGAGAGGAAGATAACGTTGAGAAGAGAGAGCAAGAGAGGAACTGTGAGAGAGAGAGAGAGAGAGAGTAGAGGGGGAGAAGCGTGGAGGAGAAGAGAGAGGTAGAGAGAAGAGAGAGAGAATGTGAGAGAGGAAGAGAGATGAGAACTGTGAGAGAGCAGGAAGTAGAGAAGAAGGAGATGACTAGAGAGAGAAGTGAGAGAGAGACATGTAGAGAGAGAGAGAGAGAAGTGTAGAGAGAGAGAACGTTGAGATTGAGAGTCGATGTGCAGAGGAGAGGACAGTGTACTGCTGAGAAGCTTAGGGAACTGAGAGAGAAAGTGACGAGAAGAGAATGAAGAGAAGAACGTGAGAGAGGTAGAGGAGAACGGAAGAGACGTGCGAGAGAGACGACTTGACGTGACAAGAAGTGGAAGTGATGCGACTGGAGGAGAACTGCTAGTGAAGGAACGTGTGATAAGAACGTGTAGAGGGAGTGACAGATAGAGCGTGCGGAGGAGAGAAACGTGTAGTAGAATAATGGAACGTAGAGAGAGAGAGCTGTGAGAGAAGTGAGAGAGCCCAGAAGTGTGAGAGAGATGAGAGAACAGCTGAAGCAGACCTACTACTCGATCTGTTAGATAGAACGTGAGAAGGATAAGAGGAGAGATGGCCATTGTCCATGGAGAAGAAGGAGAGAGTAGAAACTGTCACAAAGAGAGAGGAGAGAGAGAAAGTGGCAGAGCAGAACTGATAAGCAGAATGATCATCCTGGTAGATAACTGAGGAGTAGAAGAATCCTTAGAGAAATAGAACGTGAGAGAGACGAAAGTGAGCAGAGTGAGCACTAATGAGTGACAGAATGATGGCTCAGGAAGAGGGTATCTGTGCTGACAGTGATTAAGACACGTGACCACATAAGTAGAGAGAGAGGGACTGGATGAACCTAAAGCAAGAGTGGTCAGCAAGGGAGAGGGAGCTTGAGACGTGGTGAAAACTGTCACTGGGCACATCTTAAGCAAAATGCAATCCTGGAATTTGACCAAGCTCAAATGCTTGTTTGGCTCAGTAGTGAGTCCTTATGTGTAGAAGCATCGAAGTGTAAGCATCCTCTAATAACGGAACTTCAGCATGCAAGCTGTATGGCCTATGGGGGCAAGAGTCCATGCAAGGAAGCGGGGACACTAAAGAAGTTGCACTGGTAGTGGTAAACCTGTGTATTCAAGGACATACAGGTTATTCATGAACTACCCCCTCATATCGCAGGATGTCCACATTACTTATCAAGAGAAGGAATGCTGAACCTGCTACTAAGATGCAAGTCCTGATCCAGCTGGAGCTATATCAGCTTGGGGAAATAGATGGCAAGTAACGTACAGAGGATGATGACAAAGATGATCCCATGTATCAAATCTTCCATATGAGGATAGACTGAGGGCCCTGAATCTGCACTCCCTCGATAGGTGTAGAATTAGGGGGGATATGATCGAGGTGTATAAATGGAAAACAGGAATAAATGAAGGGGATGTAAATAGCGTGCTGAAAATTTCCAGCTAAGACAGGACTCTCGGCAATGGATTCAAGTTGGAAAAATTCAGATTCAGGAAGGATATAGGAAAGCGCTGGTTTGGTAATAGTCGTGGATGAGTAGAACAAACTCCCGAGTACAGTTATTCAGGCTAAAAGTCGTGTAGTTTTAAAAATAGGTTAGATTAATACACGAGTGGGTGTGTGTGGGTGCGAGTTGGACCTGACTAGCTTGTGCTGCTGGGTCTGGTGCCATGCTCCATCCTTGAGTGGAGGTGACCAGACTGGGTGGGTCATTGGGCTAATCCAGGGGGGGGGGACATGGACCTGCTCTGCATGGGTCAGTAGGCCTGTTGCAGTGTTTCTTTATGTTCTTATGAGTATACCAGGAAAAGTGTACGGTAGGGTTATTATTGAAAGAACTAGAGGTAAGACAGAATGTAGTATTGTGGATGAGCAAGGAGGTTTTAGAGTGGGTAGGGGGTGTGTAGATGAGGTATTTACATTGAAGCATATATGTGAACAGTGTTTAGATAAAGGTAGGGAAGTTTTTATTGCATTTATGGATTTAGAAAAGGCATATGATAGTGGATAGGGGAGCAATGTGGTAGATGTTGCAAGTATATGGAATAGGTGGTAAGTTACTAAATGCTGTAAAGAGCTTTTATGAGGATAGTGAGGCTCAGGTTAGGGTGTGTAGAAGAGAGGGAGACTACTTCCCGGTAAAAGTAGGTCTTAGACAGGGATGTGTAATGTCACCATGGTTGTTTAATATATTTATAGATGGGGTTGTAAAGGAAGTAAATGCTAGGGTGTTGGGGAGAGGGGTGGGATTAAATTATGGGGAATAAAATACAAAATGGGAAGTGACAGTTACTTTTTGCTGAAGATACTGTGCTTATGGGAGATTCTAAAGAAAAATTGCAAAGGTTAGTGGATGAGTTTGAGAATGTGTGTAAAGGTAGAAAGTTGAAAGTGAACATAGAAAAGAGTAAGGTGATGAGGGTATCAAATGATTTAGATAAAGAAAAATTGGATATCAAATTGGGGAGGAGGAGTATTGAAGAAATGAATGTTTTCAGATATTTGGGA